GGGGGGGGGGGAACATCGACCTGGAATCGGCAAGACGTCGCCGAGAGGCCGGCGATCGGCCCCAGACAGCGAAGCCGCACGTTCCTGGGAGGGGTGGGGCTATCGGGCCCGCCCCTACCGGCGCTGCATGGGCGATTGGGGGTCAATGCATCCCCCGCCTGAGCCTATCCCCCCCAAGGCTGCCCCTGACCAATGTCTACACGGTGGTTTTCGGGCCGTTCCCTCGGGCCTCCGGCGGCCGCTCGGGACGATCAAGGCACCCCCAGAACGCCCTCGACGAGGCGCAGCCCCTGAGGAGCATCCCGGGGCAGGCTGGAAAGCCGCCGAACACCGACGAAGACGTTGGAAAGCCTCGAGCGTCGAACCTCGAACGTGCCCCTGTCGGCGATCCAGTGCATCCCCCTCCTGAGCCTATGCCTCCCTAAAAGTGCCCCCCCGCTTTTCCCCTCCCGCCCGCTGCAACGGCCCCCGACGACCCCCGAGGCGCCCGACGGGCGCAGTCGCAGCTCACAAACAGTGCGCGCTCGAATCCCGCGGCGGCGCGCCTCTGCCCCCGCCGTCCACCCTCTCCTCCGACGACGCCGCTGTATCCGTGACGCGAACCCCCGGGGATCTCGACCCTTTCGCCAGGGGCCGGCTTGTCCTCCTGGGTCCATGACCTCCTCTCGCCACGGACAAGGTCACGACGGAGGGCTCTTGCCCATCTTCGACCTCCGGACTCCGGACGCGCTTCCCGGGCCTCGGGACCGCCGAAAAACGACTTGGGGACAAAACCCGGCCCCGGGGAAGGGGTCTGGACCTCTGGGGAGTCACGCTGAAAAAACATGATGGAGGCCGACGAGGCCTCCCAAATAGGGTCCGAGTAGATGGGGTCGGTGGATCGCGCCGCATCGCCGACGCATCGCCTATGCATCGGCGATGCGTCGGCGATGCATCCGCGACGTTGGCGATACATCGGCGACGTCGGCGTGCCAAAACATGTGCTCCACATCGAGCCGTATCGCCGATGCATCGGCGATGTGGCGTGATCCTCAGGCCCCATCTACTCGGACCCCACTTGGAAGACCTAGAGCTTCGTCCATTACGCGAACCCTAACGATCTCAACCTCCACCCCAGGGCCGGCTTGTCACCCTGAGCTCGTGACCTCCTCTCGCTGTGGAAAATCACGACGGAGGGTCTGTGCCCATTCTCGGCCTCTGGGGGCCCTCCGCGAGCCCCGGGGCCGCCAAGAGAAAGCCGGCCCTGGGGAAGGGGTCTGGACCTCTGGGGAGCCACGCTATGAGAAAAACACGATGGAGGATGTCTGGGGTCGTTCTGCTGACGGCCCTGGGGCTCGGGCGCGGTCTCCGGGAGGCCGAGAACGCCCGCAAAACCGGCTTCCCGCGACCCTCTCTGGCGCCGCCCAAGATCCGGGAGGCGGGGCTGCGACGAGGAGGCTCGGCTGGCCACGCCCGTGGAGCGCCGGAGGGGTGAGGCTCGACGGGGAAAGTTTTTGGGAAAGTTTTTGTTGTTTGGTTTGTTTTAATGTTTCGCGGCGCAGCCCGCCCGCGCATTCCTCGTAGCGTGGATCTCTACGCCTTAAGCATCCCCCTGGGTTGCCCCTCCGCGGCCGCCCTCTCCTTTGCCTGGCTGCTGCTTGCCATCCTCCTCCTCCTCCTCCTCCTCCTCCTCCTCCTCCTCCTCCTCCTCCTCCTCCTCCTCCTCCTCCTCCTCCTCCTCCTCCTCCTCCTCCTCCTCCTCCTCCTCCTCCTCCTCCTCCTCTCCTCCTCCTCCTCCTCCTCCTCCTCCTCCTCCTCCTCCTCCTCCTCCTCCTCCTCCTCTTCCTCTTCTTCTTCCTCCTCCTCTTCCCTGGGGCACAGAGACAGAGACAGCGAGAGACGGAAAAAGGGACCAGGGAGCACGACAGCAGCAGGGAGACGGGCGGGCGAAGAGAGAGAGAGAGGGAGCGGAGCGGGGCGAGGAAGACGCGCGGGCCTTTGGCCCGATGCCGAGGCCCTTCAGCGTCAGCCGAGCCCGGGACTCCTGGCCCACGCACGAGAGGTAGGCGGTGCAGGTGTACATCAGGGCGTCCTGGCTGGGCAGGCCGGCGAACACGCGGGCACGATTGGGCTCCAGGCAACCCACGCCGTCCGGCGGGCGTGCACGCGGGGAGCACCGGATGCACCAGCGGTGCGGGCTCCGCTGCTCGACCTGCCTCGAGCTGCCCCGAGCACTTCCACGACCCTCTTCTCCAAGTATCTGGCGCCTTGATTTTGTCACAGCGTCACGCCCCAGAGGCCTGGACCTCTTCCCGGGAACCCAGTTGTTTCATCCGGGGTCGGTCACTGACGGTCCCGAGGCCAGGTAAGCGTCCCTGGAGGTCGAGAACGGCCAGGAACATACCATCTCGATGTCTTCACGACGCGATTACGTCGGCCCTCCTCGCCCCCTCTGAGGAGAAGAAGAATCGGCACAGACAGGAGCCGTCCGAGGTCCGCGCGGCCCTCCTGGATCGGCACTGGGCCGCCCTCCCTGGCGCGCAGAGCGCGCGCCAGGGGCGGCGCCTCCAGGGGCCCAGCGCCGACGCAAGAAACCCGCGCGGATCCCCGGAGGGTTATGTTCAGGTCGCTTCCTCCTCCTCCTCCTCCTCCTCCTCCTCCTCCTCCTCCTCCTCCTCCTCCTCTGTTCTTGGTTGTTCTATGTGCCTGTGCTTTCATCGATCTTTGGGAGTGCAGCTCTGGTCACCCGTGGCTATACATATATCTATATATATATATATATATATTCATATTATATATATATATATATAGGCGATGTCGGAAACCTCTCTTGTGGGCACATCTGTTACTTCCGCCGCCTTCCGCCGAGCCTCCGCCGGCAGAGACGGTCTCGTTTTACTTCCGCCGACCGTCCGCCGCCTTCCGCCGAGGCAGAGATGACAACTCCTTCGATCCTCGAAGGCAAGGCCGTTCCTAGAGAACCCCACATATATATATATATATATATACACACAAGACTGCATTGGCGCTTCGCGCCATGCACCTTGGTCCTTGAAGTTTGGTATGCAGGCGGAATGGCAGGAAGCTCAAGTCGACAATTTAGCGAGAATTCCTCCTTGCCTTTTCCGACATCGCCGTCATAACAATGTTCCCGGAGAGCTCTCTGAGAGCTATAGGGTTTTAGATTAGACGCCGGACGGTGGTGGTGCCTGCCAGCAGCCCATCTTCGCCGGTCCAGAATCCCCGCAGAAACTTGTGTGAGGTCGCAGCGTGTCCAGGAGCGCTTCCGGCACGCGTCCACGCGTGCCTGCACGCGTGCAGGCACGCGTGGAAGAGTGCCTGGCAGCGCTTCAGAAGCGCTTCAGGAGAGCTCCCCAGAGCTCTTCAGTTCATCAGGAAAGCTTTCCAGGAAAGCTTTCCGGTGTGAGTGCCTCTTTGCTCCCCGGGTTTTGGACGCTACCAAGTTGTTCGTCATCCCTTCCTCCATGTTTCTTGTTCCTTATTCTCGCTATACCCTGCAAATTCTCCCCATCCTCCGCAGCTCTTTCTTCAGAGGCTCCTCCTTGGAGAGCCTCTGGGGGCCTCACACAAGTTTTTCATGCTTTCTGAAAGCCTTTTGGAAGCCTTCTTGGCGTCTTTTGGGGGCATCTTGGGGGCTTCCTCGGGCCACCCTGCCTCCAACTGCGGTCTGCCTGAACAACCGGGTCACGATTTAGAATGCTTCGGAAGGTGTCTTGAGGCCATCTTGGGCCGTCATGGGGCTCTCTTAGGCCATCTTGGAACTCTGTTGTGCCGTCTTGAGGCTCTCTTGGACCGCCTGGAAGCCCTTTCGGATGATCGTGGGGCGATTCTCGAGCCTCCCAGGCGGCTTCGGACGCCCAGAAGACCGCGGTTTCGGAGCGTCGGGAAGCCGAAAAAAGGAGAACCCCAAAATTCACCAACAACCAATTGAAAATCTATAAATTTTGCCTCTGGGGGCCTTCTTGGGAGTGCTCTTGGAGACCTCTTGGGACGTTTTGGAACGACCTTTGAGGGTGTGACGACTTCTTTGGGGTTGTCGTGGACCGTCTTGGGGCTCTCTGGGGTCGTTTCGGGAGCGCGCCGGAACGCCTGGAGCCCTCTGGGGCTCTCGTGGGGTTCTCCAGGGTCGTCTGGAGGGTTGCCCGAGAGGCCCGGGTGTGGGCCAAATTCGTTAGGTGGGGGGGGGGGGGGTTCCGGGGTCCCTGGCCCTATAAGAATATGTGTATATATGTATACATATATAATATAGATATTCATACGTATAATATATACATATATACATATATACATATATATATATATATATGATACACATCTACACATTCACACATATAGATATATCGATATAAATACATATAATTATACATATACATAGATGTGTGTGTCTACATATATATATATATATATATATATATATATATATATATAACAGTTGCGAACTCACAGCTGTCTTCTTCCCTACCCTCCTCTTGCCGGAAGCAACCGCAGGATGTCGCGATCTGTGTGGTGTTGTCTTGGTGCGGATGAATACAAAAGAATGATCCTCCTCCTCCTCCTCCTCCTCTCCTCCCTCCTCCTCCTCCTCCTCCTCCTCCTCCTCCTCCTCCTCCTCCTCATCCTCCTCATCCTCCTCATCCTCCTCCTGCTCAGAATCCCACCAGCCCTTTGGGCGTGAGTGGTTTAGAGAGCCCGCTCTGTTCTCAACCCCCTTCTTCCCCTTCGGGGAAGGGTTTACCCCTCCCCCTACCCCCTCCCCCTGGGCCTGGAGAGGGGCTCCCGCGGGTCGCCAGGGGGGTCTTTTTCGACTCCTGGGAGGGTCAAAAAACGACGACCCTCACGAGGATTGTGGCCCCGACGGGGGGGCCGAGTTTGGCCCCTCTCCTCTTCTTTGAATCCAAAATCATTGATTTTACTACGGTTTGGGCCCCATTTTGGCCTCCTGAGGGGGCCGCGCTCATCTTCCTTCATAGCAAAATCATTGATTTTACAAAGGTTTTGGGCTCATTTTGTCCTTCTCAGGGGGCAGCGCTCCTTTGCGCTTCAGAGGAGGTCGCAAGAGGCCCCAAGATGGCCCCAAGAGGCCCCCAGGAGCCTCCCAAGAGGCCTCCAAGAGGCCCCCAAGAGGCCCCCAAGAGGCCCCAAGAGGCCTCCAAGAGGTCCCCAAGAGGCCCCCAAGAGGCCCCAAGAGGCCCCAAGAGGCTCCCCCGAGGCACCCAAGACGCTCCTGGAAGCCCCTGGGGCCGCCAAGAGGCCCCCAAGACGCCCCAAACGGCCTCCAAGAGGCTCCCAAGAGGCCCGAAGAGGCTCCCCCAAGGCACCCAAGACGCTCCTAGAAGCCCCTGGGGCCGCCAAGAGGCCCCCAAGACGCCCCAAAAGGGGACGAGGTGCCCGAACGCCTCACGCCACGAGGAGCCCGAACGACTCACACCAGGACGAGGGGCCCGAACGACTCACACCACGAAGAGCCCGAACGACTCACACCAGAAGGAGGGGCCCGAACGACTCACACCAGGACGAGGCGCCCGAACGACTCACACCACGAGGAGCCCGAACGACTCACACCACGACGAGGGCCCCGAACGACTCACACCACGAGGAGCCCGAACGAGTCACACCAGGAGGAGGGGCCCGAACGACTCACACCAGGACGAGGGGCCCGAACAACTCACACCACGAGAAGCCCGAACGACTCACACCAGGACGAAGAGCCCGAACGACTCACACCACGAAGAGCCCGAACGACTCACACCAGGAAGAAGGGCCCGAACGACTCACACCAGGACGAGAAACCCCAAACGACTCAAACCACGAGGAGCGCTTTCTCTCCCTCCTCCTCCGCCTCGTCCTTCTCCCGCTCCCCCCACAAGGAGGATGTACAAGGAGGCGGGAGGAAGGAGGAACAGGGGAGATATGCGGGGCCAAGCGGACACACGCCTGAAAAACACGACTGTCGGCATGCTTCGCGAGAGTTGCTGCTGTGAGATGGGCTGGTGGGGATACGCGAAGCGTAAAGAATTCAGGACTGGAGCCGTGGATGTCGATGGTATGACGCTGCATGCTCCCATCCCCCAGCGGGCTTCGCCACTCCTCCTCCTCCTCCTCCTCCTCCTCCTCCTCCTCCTCCTCCTCCTCCTCCTCCTCCTCCTCCTCCTCCTCCTCCTCCTCCTCCTCCACGCACACACACACACAGACACGCGCACACGCGCGCACAGAACCGGACCTCCGAGGCTCCCCGACACGCGCCTGCCCACGAAAAAGCCACGACGTTGCGACGTTGCTCCACTCCTTCTCCTCCTCCTCCTCCTCCCTCCTCCTCCTCCTCCTCCTCCTCCTCCTCCTCTCCTCCTCCTCCTCCTCCTCCTCCTCCTCCTCCTCCTCCTCCTCCTGTTCGTCCGCCCGCCCGCGGGGCCGGCCAGACAGCCGCGCCCGGCGAGCGCACTCATTTCGGGAAGGGCCCGCAGAGACACGCAGGCGAGCGCCCGACGAGCGCGCGGTGCGGGGACGGCCAGGGCGCGGGCAGCCCGACGAGCGCGGCACTCCGCCGGCGGCCAGGGCTCCTTCAAAAGGTCTTGCCCTCGGCCCTCGAGGCTCGAGAGGGCGGCGGCTTTCGGACGTGGCCGGTGGCGTTGCCACAAATGCTCGAGCAGGCTTGCTGGTATTAGAGCAATATATAGATATACATACATGCATACATACATACATACATACATACATGCATGCATGCATGCATGCATGCATGCATGCATACATGCATACATGCATACATACATACATACATACATACATGCATGCATGCATGCATGCATGCATGCATGCATACATGCATGCATGCATGCATGCATGCATGCATGCATGATGCATACATACATACATACATACATACATACATACATACATACATACATACATACATACATACATACATACATACATACATATATATATATGTACATTAACTGTTGGCGCCCGCGCGGATTTCTTGGATCTGCGCCGGACCCCCCCTCCCCGGCGCGCGGAGGGCGCGCGGAGCGCGCCAGGGCGGCGCCGGAGGCGCCGCCAGGAGGTCCCAGCGCGGATCCAAGAAATCCGCGCGGAGCGCCAAAAGTTTATGTTCATGGTGTCTTTTCTTCTTCTTCGAGGTATGGCATCCCCCCCCCCCTCCCCCACCCCTCCGCCGCGCTTTCAGGCAGAACTTGGGCCCGAGACGGCGCGCAAGTGAGCCCCGACTCGCGTGAAGTCCAGATTTCCTCTCGGGCCTCGCCGCGCCGCCCTGGCCCCACGCAGTAGGAAACGTGCCCGAGCCTGAAAAAAAATGCCTCCGAGGGGTCAGGGGGCAACTCCAGGAACCGAACATCTATAGAGGCACGCCTCCCTCCTCCCTCCCCCCTCCTCCTGTGTCTGCTTTCCTCCCTCTTGAGGGGGGAGGTGGAGGAACCAAGACAAACTATGCAGTTGTGCTTCCTTCTCTGAACCCCCAGGGAAGAGTTAGTGGGAACGGTAACAGAAAATGAATCCGCGTTCGGGCGCCAGCAAGCCAGATTAAGCCAAGGCGAAAGCCGGATTAAGCTGGATCGCACGGGATAAAGCCAGACTGAGTGCCAGGGACTTGGCCACTTTTCGGCCACGGATGTACCAACGCCGATGCTGAATTCACCCCCCCAGCAGCTGCCACCCGACAAGGGGGAAGGGGGGGGGGGAACGGGAGGGAGCAGACAGAGCCGGAGGAGACGGAGGCAGGACCAGCCAGCATGAAGTCGGAACACCGGGTCGGAGCGGCGCGTGCGTCGGATGGGGCCGCCACGGCACGGAGCCGAGAGCGAATCGGACCCGGCGGCGCCGGGGTGCACACTGGCGCTGCACGCCAGCCTCGGGCAGCAGCGGACCGTCGAAGCACGGGACCCGGACCGAGTGGAGCTGGCCAACAAGAACCGATGCCGCGCCGCATCGGTCGCATCGGCAGGGGGCCCCGCACGAGGCGAGGCCGAGCGAGGACAGCTCGCGAGCGGGGCCACACGGCGGTCCGAGGGGACCCTCGCGCGCGGAGGGAGGGGAGGGGGGGGCGCGGCGAGGAGCGGCGGGGCGGCGGGCCTTCGGCAGGAACGTGCACGCGCAGGTCACCTGCGAGTGCGGCCAGATCTGCCCGGTGAGCGGCTCGATGGCGAAGATGGCGTCCCGGAAGAGCATGGGGTCCTGCTCGCCCGGGGGGGGGGGGGGGCAGGACGGCGGCGCACGCCCGTGGCGAGCTGGAGCGAGCCCTGCCGCGGCCCCCGACGGGGCCAGGGAGGGGGGCGGATCGGCTGGGCAGACCCAGCCTGCAGGGCGGGAGGGGCCAAGGCAGGGGGTGCAGCACTGGCGAATGCCAGCTGCGGGCCCGAGGACGCACGCGCGCGCGCTCGTGCGCTCCCGCACACGCTGTTCCCTCCAGCGGCGAGGCTCGGCGGCGCGTACGAGGGGTGCAGAGGGAGAGGGGGGGAGGCTTCTTAGGAGGAGGCTGCTTCTTAGGAGTCGCCGGCCCTGCATCTGCAGAGAAGGCCCGCGGCTTCTAAGAAGCAGGGGTGATTCCAGGAAGCCTTCCCCCCTCCCCCCAGGCCCCCTCTGCGCGTGGCCGAGAGGTGACGATACCGTCGCGAAGCGCCAGGACACGCTGAGGCGAAGTACCACCTGGCGTGGCAGATGGGTGCACTGGGCTGAGACCCTCTGGCGCTGGGCCCGATCTCTGCTGACCCCTGGACTACTTCGAGACCCGAGGTGGGGCAGGATCAGACAGCATCGCATCGGGAAATCGGATCGAATTGGATTGTGCGTCGGACCAGGCTGCACCGCCACGCAGTCGAATCCGAGCCGGATCGGCCGCACCAGCATGCACAACAGCGCCACGCAAGTGCCAGGCCGCATCGGACACCAGCGAGAAACCAGAATCGAGCCGGCGCGGGCCGGCCAGCGCCGATATCGAATCGGGCCGATCGGACACACATGGACCCCGTGAGGCGGGGTGGTGAGGGGGAACGACAGGGGGGGACCGACTCAGGGGGAGGGTCGGGCCGGGCGAAAGGGGGGGATAGCAAAGGGGGGGGTTGAGAATCAGCTCACGTAGCTGATTTTCCCGCCACCTCCTGGCGCCAGGAAGCGCCCACGTATCGAGGAATGGGCCCGGGGGCGGGGCCGAAACCAGCTGCATGCAGCAGATTTCGGAACCCCCCCTTTCCCAATCCCCCCCGTTCGCCCGGTCCGAGAGAGGGGGGGGGAAACATCGAATCGGCGACACACCGCCGATAGACCGGCGGTAGGCCGCCGACGCGACAGCGAAGCCGCAAGTTCCTGTGATGGCTGGGCTATCGTGGCCCTCTCGGCGATGAATGGGCGATTCAGGGTCGATGCATCTCCTGCCGGGCCCTATTGAAGGGACCCTGGGACACACAAATAAATACACACAAACAACCAGATTCCTTATATGTTCCCATACTTTCTGGGTTTTTTTGTCTTCCCCCCACTCCCCATAGTTTCCCATATCTTCCTGGGAGTGGACGATTCATTGTGTCTGTGTGCTTCTCCCCTCCTGGCCCTATCCCCCCCTAACGCTGCCCCTGGCCGATGCCTCCACTGTGGTTTTCGGGCCCTTCCCTCGGGCCTCCGGCGGCCGCTCGGGGCGGCCTGGGCACCCCCAGAGCTCCCTCGACGAGGCGCGGCCGCCGAAGAGCATCCCGAGACTGGAAGGCCGCCGAGAACCAACGAGGATGTCTAGAAACCTCGAGCTTCGAACCTCGAGCTCGGAACCTCGATCAATGGGCGACCGGGGGTCGATGCATCCCCCCCTGGAGCATCTCACCCCAAACGTTGCCCCTGAGGAGGCAGGAGCGTGGCCCGGCATCCCCGAGTGCTCTCGGCCGCCGAGGCCGCGCCCGCCCCAGCGTCGGACCGCCTCCTTTATTTTATTCGCAGGGAGTGAGAGGAGAAGGCGGAACGCTCTCTCTCTCTCTCTCTATCTCTCTCTCTCTATATATATATATATGTATGTGTATATATATGTGTATATATATTACATACATATATATATATATATATGTATGTATATATATATGTACACACATAAACACACATGTATGTACGTTTACAGAAAGTTATATAGTATGTGCATGTGGACTAAGATATCTCTCACTCTCTCTCTCTCTCTCTCACTCTTCCTCTCTCTCTCTCTCTCTCTCTCTCCCATCCCTCCCTCCCTCCGTCTCTCCCTCTCCTTCTCCCTCCCCCTCCCCCTCTCCCTCTCCCTCTCTCTCTCTCTCTCTTTTTCTCTCTTTCTCTCTCTCTCTCTCTCTCTCTCTCTCTCTCTCTCTCTCTCTCACCGAACCAGATGTCATGATGCGATTCGCTCAGGAAACGCTCCAGGAACTCAGGAGCATCTAGCGGGCCTTGTCTCTGGCGCCCGTGCGGAACAGTAGGAAATCCTGGAACTCCTGGGGGTCTTGTGCGCACACGTGTGAACGGGCGCCTGCACGCACGAACGCCAGCGCGCACGCGCGAGGGCCCCTCCGCGCCCTCCGACGGCCCCCGCTTGCCCGCCCCTCGCCCCCGAACCGGCGTCCTCCTTCACTGCCTTGTTGATGCTGCCGTACTTCCGGGACAGCGCACTGGTGACCTTGTTCTTCTTGCGCACCTGGGGTCTGACCGGGAGGAGCAGCAGGAGCAGAAAGCAACAAGAGGAAGCAGGATCAAGAGCAGGAGCAGGAGAAGCAGAAGGGCATGGCTTACCCTCTGCCGAAGGCGGCCCCGGTGCAGACCCTATCCGAGGCCTGCTGCTTGCTGTTAGAAACTTTCTGCATGCTCGGGGCACACATGCGCAATGCAATGCAATGAGGCACCGAGCCATGAGGTGTCATCCAACGCAAGGCATGATCCAGCACGGCACAAAGAAAACCGAATGGTACCGATTCCGCTTCTCTTTCCGGAACCCTCTCGGTGTACACTCTGACCAGAAATTCAAGGACAATCCAGCCTTGGCGACGAGAGTTCTCCAGGACGAGCAGTGATACAATCAACCCGTATGATAATGATGCGCGGTAAGGATGCAAGTGCCTTGCACGCCCATGCCGAGGCTCTTCGAGCGGGGTTGGCCGTCGGAAGTGGTTGAGGATGGACCGAAAACGACCGAAGAGGCAAGGATGCAAGGGTACCCTTGGGAAGTAGATCATCCTTACTATGCGTCTTGAATGTATCGGTACCTGTTCCTCCCTGAAGCAATGCACAGCGCACCACCACCCAGCATACTACAGTCAACTGGTATAATACGGACGCACGAAAAGGATGCAAGGGCCTTGGAAGGCCATGCCGACACTTTGCGAGCAGGACGCGGCCAGCGAAAGCGGCCAAGGAAGGATGCGCCGAAGGGAAAGGATGCAAGGGCAACCTCGGAAAGTCGCTCATCTTCACTATTCGAGTTGACTGCATCGGTACCTGTTCCTCCCCTGAGGCTCCGCGCAGCACACCACCGCCCAGCATGTCATGGCACAGCGGCACTGCATGAAGCCGGGCAGCACAGCAGCACGCAGCACGGCGCAGCACAGCGCAGGGCACGACGATGCACGGCACGGTACGCACACGGCACACAGCACGGCACCAGAGCGGGAAACCGCACGACCCGGCGCAAAATAGCACGACACAAGATGACACGGCCCTGGGGGGACACAGATGGCCGATTTCGGAAACCCTGAGCCCAACAATGTTGTCACCTCTTGGGGGCGCATCTTTTACTTTCGCCGCCTTCCGCCAGCCTTCCGCCAGCTTCCGCCGGCGGAGGCGGCCTCGTTTTGCTTCTGCCGCCTTCCGCCTGCCTTCCGCCGCCTTCCGCCGAGAAAGAGATGGCAACTCATTCGACCCTCGAAGGCAAGGGCCAGGCCATGTCTGGAACGCCCCAAATGATCAAACCCTACATAGTACGGAAAAATGGGTACGATTCCCAACGGCAAATGCTGCCCAAAACCAAGAAGCGGCCACTGTTGGGCAGGCGACTCACTGTCTCGAACGGACAATTCCCGCGTGGACGCCGACAGCGAGCCCTGTTCAAAGCGGACCAGCATTCCTGTCGGTCTTCGCCACCGTCCTTTCAGCACCCATTTTGGGCAAAACAAGCAAAGGCACCGATACTGCTACTCCCCAGACCCCGCCCCCGCCTCCGCCTCCGCCTCCGCCTCCGCCTCTGCCTCCGCCTCCTCCGCCTCCCCCTCCTCCTCCTCCTCCTCCTCCTACCCCTTTTTTCCTCCTCCTCCCCTACCTCCTCCTCCTCCTCCTCATCCTCTCCCTTTCCTTCCTCCTCCTCCTCCTCCTCTCCTACTCCTCCATTTCCTCATCCTCCTCCTCCTCCTCCTCCTCCTCCCCTCCTCCTTCCTCCCTCCTCCTCCTCCTCCTCCTCCTCCTCCTCATCCTTACTCCTCCTCCTCCCCCTTCCGCTCCTCTCCCCCTCCGCATCCTCCGCCTCCGCCTTCCGCCTCCGCCTACTCCTCTCC